CGGCGGAGGCCGCCCACTCGCCCAGAGAGACCCTGTCCTCACAGCCTTACGTGACAGTCGCCTCCCACCTCATAAAGCACTTTTCCTGTTGGTTTTCGGGGTTCGTCTCCCACTGGCGAGGCCCTTGGGGCCGGGGGGTGGGGCGGGGGACCCACATTCGAGGAAAGGGCCGGGGACAGGGATTGCTCAGGCTCGCGCGGCGAGTCCGCAAGGCCAGAGGCTGATGCTCGCGGACTTGGGGCCCCAAGTTCAGATCTTTTTACCAAATGTCTCCCCCACTCAGTCTCATGACTTTATCTGTGAAGCGGGGTGATCATTCCTTGCGCGTAGGGGCGCTGTGAGGGTCCCCTTCTCATCAGCTTGGTTTTGGGCTCCTGGTGTGTGGCAGGCGCTGAGCCGGGGAAGTTTGAGCGCCCCGAGGTGCCGCACCCACGGTAGGGCCCGGGCCAGAGGGAGCTGCCCTCCGGGGCCAGGATCGGGGTCAGGGTGCAGGCTCCCCGCCGTCACGTGGGGAGAACGACGGCCTGGGCCTGTGACAGTGGGATGTGGGACATGCTTAGAGCACGTGTGATCCACAGTAAACAGTGAGTGATCCCCGACCACCCGTAGGTTCCTTAGCTTAAATAGGATAACGGATGACAAAGCACTTTACAGAGGCGAACACTGTTCTCGAAAGAGGATGGGGGCAGTTTGTGTGGAACTAGATCCGTTCATTGGGCACTTACACACCAGGCCCGGGGCACTAGTCACCGCTGTCCGCATAGATGGAGTCTTGGTACTGCCAAGTGTTGTTCCAAACCTGTTTCCATACATTAACTCACTTCATCCTCGTACCCGCCGTACGGGCAGAATGCCGTTTTAATCCTCATTTGACGGGTGGGAAACTGAGGTAAGGCAGAGGGTTAAGGAACTTGCCCGAGGTGATGAGCTCATCAGTGGTGATGCCAGGATTCGTGTGTCAGAGTCCTTCCGGAGTCTGGACCACCCCTATGGTGACCTATTACAGGGGCTTTACATGTTTTATCTCACACAGTTCGCAACTCTGTAGCAGCTGCTGTTAACATACTAGCATTTCCACTTTACAAGTGAGAAGGCTGATGCTTAGAGGGGTGAAGTGCTTTGCCCAAAGCCATGTGTAAGTGGCGGAGCGAGGATTCAAGCCCAGGCAGCTCAGCTTCCAAGCCCTGGCCCTTCGGCATCAACTGGACTTTCCCAGAAGGCGGGTGAGAGGCTGGGGTCTAGGCCTAATCCGGTCCCTAAATTGTAGTGTGGCCTTGAGGGTGTCTGAGACCTACGTTAAGAACTCTTTGACTTTTAGGTCGTCTCTATAGGCCCTTCTGTTACTCATTCTGATTCTACGCTTCTGTTTTTCCCTCCTGCTTGTAGCTTGACGCCCAGCACCTGCCAGTCCCCCATGGCCCCGTGGAGCCGAGAGGCGGTGTTGAGTCTCTACCGGGCTCTGCTGCGCCAGGGCCGAGAGCTTCGCTACACGGACCGGGACTTCTATCTTGCCTCCATCCGCCGTGAGTTCCGGAAAAATCAGAAGCTAGAGGATCCTGAGGCCCGGGAGAGGCAGCTGGAGAAGGGCCTGGTCTACCTCCAGCGAAGACTGGGGGGCATTATTTAGGATCCTCTCCTTTCCTCTGCCATCCTAATTCAAGGGAAGGAGGGCAAAGGTGCCTTCTGTAGACCCTCCTGCTCCCCCACCCCACCCCCACCTCACAGATGCAGTAGCAGCTGCAGGTAGGTAGACCCTTGTTTCTGCAGGTTTTTTTTTTTTTTTTTTCTGATGCAGGGGACCAGGAGAGGGAGACCCTTTTCTTTCAGGGACCAAAGTCCTTTAATCATTAGAAATCCATGGAGAAACTACAGACATATTAACAGAGGTATGTTCCCTTACTGAGAAAAAATAGGCCCTGAGTTTCAAGCCCTCAGAACAGGATTGTTATCACATTTTAGTTCAAGTGGAACAGTTACATATGAAAATGTTAGAAAAGACATTGGTTAAAGCTATTCGAGTTTAATTCCGGCTGGCTCATTCTTAGGACATTCAGCTATCTTGCAGGTCTGATCACATCCCCCAAAATGTAGCTCTGTCCTGTGACAGCGTCTGTAAAGTAAAGCAAGCAGAGTGTGCAGATATCGGGGGACGGTGTCAGGGCTCACAGCCCGGCACTGCTGCTAACACTTGTAGGATTTAGGGCAAATCACTAAGCTGTTCGAGGCCTCCATTTCCTCATTTGTAAAATGGACATAATAGTTATGAGAATTAAATGAGAGAGTGCACCCCCAGCACTTAGGGTTACTTGGCAGGTGGTATTGGTGCTGTTTGCTCCTGATTCCACTGTTACTAAGAAGTTCCACTAAATATAATCTAATGATCATAGTTAATTCAGCAGCTTCCCGAGGGCCTTCTATGGTGCTGGCTTTCCGGTAGGCGCTGGGATAGAGGTGAATGATCCTGTCCATCAAGGGCTTGGTCTAACGAGATCAGCAGGAAGTAATTCTGGCATGAGCAGCTCTGGTGTAGAGGGTTGGGCACAGAGCTTAGAGACAAGGATAAGCACATAGCTGCCTTGGGTCGGGGGAGTACGGGAGTCGCAGGGAGCTGTAGGAAAGGACATTTGAGGTCTGCTTCAAATGAGAACTAGGTTGCTGAGTAGATGGGCAAGAAGCAAATGTGGAGGTGCAGCTGCACTTTGTCCTGGAAACTCGAGTCTGGCATGGCTAGAATGGTGCACCTGTAAGGCAAGTGGCTGGAGTGGAAGCTGGGCCAGGTCCGGAAGGACACTGAATCCCCTGTTGAGGAGATTGGGACATCTGATAGTAGGGGGACCATCACAGCTTTGAAAGCAGCGAATGTCATGGGAGAGGGAGCGTGGCAGTGGCGGCCGGAGAATAAGTTGGTGGAGATACTAAAGGCAGCGAATATGGCCAGCTGAGATTGAGGGACCGAGGAGGTGGGCTGGCCGCATATACATACAACTTGTACAGCAGTGGGGCTTGGTGACCAGTTGGCGGAAGCAGGAGGAGAAAGAAGAATGAAGGATAACTGAGGTGAAAGGCTTGCCAGCTGGGTGGGAGGTACTGTGTTCAGCTTTGACAGGAAAAGCAGGGAGGAGCCTTATGTAATGGCTTTTGGTTCTCCTCAGCCACTGGGTTGATTGGCAGGCCGGCCTTTGGCAGCGTGGGGCCCATAGGGGCTGCTGCACAGGAAGGCGGCAGGTCTGGAACTACACAGTGAGCTACTAGTCTTTGGGCTCCTAATCTGTTTTGACTGAGTTGGGTTACAGGTCGCCACCACCCCCTCTTTGAAAAAAAAAAAGCCAGAGTTCATAGCTCATTTGTGCAACAAATACTATGTGTCAAACACTGGCGCTGGGCAGTAGCAGTGAATGAGCCAAGTGCCCCCAGAAGCTTGTGGTCTGGTGGTTAACAGAGGAAATGTGAGCAAGCTACCCGAGACCCCTGTAAACCACTCCCCAGCAGCACGTCTAGTTCAAATCTCGGCACAACCTACTGACATGGTGACCCTGGGCCAGTTACTTCACCTTTGTCTCAGTTTCTTCATCTGAAAATTGGAAATAATACTATGACTAACCTCACGGGATTGCTGGGGTGAGGAGTATTTCTCTTCCCTGAAATGGTGGCCGTGCTCAGATTCTCCGCCCCCTGCCCTGCCCACCAGGTCACAACCATTTTTTAGTGTACAGTTCAGTAGTGTTAAGAACATTCACATTGTTTATGCCACATGAACAAAATCACAAATTTGGTTTTGGTACTTTTTGTTCCTCTTTGTATTCAGTTGTGTAGTACTTCCAGTTCAAAATGAGAAGAAAAGCTATTCTGTATCAAACCATCTAAGCAATGTTATATTTTAAAAATGGCAACAACAAAAAAAAGAATATTCACCTTGTGGTGTAACATCTCCAGAACTTCTTTATCTTGCAAAACTGAGACTCTCTACCCATTAAAGCACCAGTGCTCCTCTCTGATGGCACCGAGGAGCCAGCCCCGCTCCGTGCCTGTGAGTCCCGTTCCTAGGAGGCTCCCACTAGTGCAGGAACCTGAGTGGAGGACGAGCGGATAAGCACTTGCAGCTGCAACAAGTTAACTTAAAATAAGATTTGGAGTTCATGGATGCTCTCTCCTCTTCCAGGTCACCAGACCCTTGGGTGGGGAGCATATCGCACTAGAGTAGGAACGGCCTGCTCAACTTAACAGTTTTAACCTCAAGCCCAGGACAGCATGAGTCTGTCTCAGAAGTCAGATGTAGCTCAGAGAGCAATCTGAGTGCCTTCTGGAAGTTGACCCCTTGTCCTGTGGGTGCAAATCTTAAAAGACTTAATTAGTACTTTACAGTTTATAGAGTGTTTACATACAGTGTTTTAGTAGATTTTTTCCTCACTATAGTCCTATGATTTAGGCCCTGCAGGCATCATTCTCCCCTTTTCATAGCTGAGGGGTTAAATAATTCAGGGTTCAAAGGCAAGGACTCCATCTCAGGATTTCTGACTGGAAAACCCAGGCTTTTTTCTATTCTGCCACCTCCCCGCCTGCTCTCACCAGTCATCACATCAGATGGCCAAGGACTAAATGGCCCGGGGGGGAGGGGGTTCCTTCTGGCTTCTGCTCGGAGGGGGACATGCCCTTCTGGTCTGCTGCATCTCATCCAGGGATCACTCAGGGCAGGGTGGGAGCCTTTTCTCTGCCAAGGGCCATTTGGATATTTATAACACCCTTCGTGGGCCATACAACATTATCAACCTAAAAATTAGCTTGCGCCAGACATTTAATTAACTCACTCCTAACGCCTTGGCAGGGCCAACATGGCCCACGGGCCAGACGTTCCCCACCCTTGACTTAGAGTGCCTACATCCAGTGGTTCTCCCTACTACAAATATATTAGCAAAGGTTCTCTTGTTTAAAACAACAAAACGGTGGTTATTATGTGTGGGAACCGTGCAATGTCTATGGTGTTCTGATTGGATTCCGCTGCCTCAACTGAGTGATATGTCCCATCTCTGTCTCAATGGACCCGGAGAGAGGATGCTTGGATTCTTGCCTGCCTCCACCTGTAAATACAAAGGCAGCTCTCTCCTTGGCCTTGCTTGCTCTGTGCGTTTAAGTGGGAATATATTTCATTTGGCCAAGTGGTCTCATTTGTCCCTAAGTGAAGCTTCTGTTGACTGTGAAAGGTGGAGAAAAGGGCCACCAAGGTTGTGAACTCTATTAGGGGGAAATATTTTTGGACTTGACAGTGTTTGAGGCCCCAGGTGGTGATGGCTCTGTTCTGCCTTCATCCTCAGGTGAGCAATGGCAGGCGCTGGCGAGCGCAAAGGCAAGAAGGATGACAATGGCATCGGCACAGCCATTGATTTTGTGCTCTCCAATGCCCGGCTGGTGCTGGGGGTGGGCGGAGCGGCCATGCTGGGCATCGCTACGCTGGCGGTTAAGCGGGTAAGTGCCTGCAGCCTGAGCCAGGGGTGGGAGAGGGGGGCGGCTGCCTCCGCAGAGCAGAGCTGGTCTGGAACAGGCCTTGACGCTGCTCATGGGGTCGAACTGGGTCACTGGTTATTAGATGAGACCTTAGGAGAGTTCAGTTAAGGCTGCTGCTCGGTCTCTACCCCAAAGAAGTCGTTGGAGAGACAAATAAAGATGTTTATCCCAGCGGGTAAAAAGTTACAAGTACCCCAAATATTCTTCCTTGACTACCTTATTTAAAATAGCAACCCCCACCACGCATTGCTTCCATTTTCTTCCTTATTTTAACGATAATCTCTGCATACTTTGTAGTGACTACCTTATTTAAAATAGCAACCCCCACCACGCATACACTTCCTGTTTCCATTTTCTTCCTTATTTTAACGATAATCTTTCTGCATACTTTGTATTTAACTTGTTTATGTTTTGCCTGTGTCCCTCTACTGGACTGGGTCTCTCGGTTAGTGCTCTAGTCTTGTACCTAGGACAGCACGTCATAGACACTCAATGAGTATTTGTTAAATGAATTAATCAGTGTTCACTATTACATTCATAAGGTACAGTGTGGTATAGTTAGAAAATGTACCATAATGTTGAACACCGGTTCATTTTTACTGGTATGAGTAAATGATAAAAATCATAAGTGAAAAAAATCGGGTTTCAAAAGTATATATAGAGCAGGATCCTAATTACCTAAATCTATTTTTCCAGAAAGAAATATACTAAATTATTAACATTTATCTCTGGGTTGTGACATTATGGATAAATCTGTTTCTTATTTATATCATTTCATGTTTCCTGAACTTTTCTATTTTCTACATGGAGAAACTATAATCCAGAATAACACAAAGGTATTGAAAATTAGTCTAGAGCTCACCAAAGCTGCTGGGAAGGAGGGAAGCAGGAAGGAAGGAACATGTGTGGACGGGACCTCTTGCTGTTTCAGATGTACGATAGGGCAATCAGTGCCCCTACCAGCCCCACCCGCCTGGGCCATTCGGGAAAAAGGAGCTGGGAAGAACCAGCCTGGATGGGCTCCCCCCGACTGCTGAACAAGGACATGAAGACAGGCCTGAGCCGGTCCCTGCAGACCCTTCCCACAGACTCCTCGGCCTTTGACACAGGTGAGAAAGCCTCTGCCCCTTCTGGGACTTACCTGTGGGCTCTCAGTGCTACTCCTGCATGTAGCAAACATTCCGTGAGCACATGTGTGCCAGGCACCGTGCTAGCACTTGCTGTTGTGCCAAGCCCTTCTTTCTGGGATCGAGGCAGCCTGGGAAGAGCTGACATGCTTCTCTCTCTTGCCTTGGCAGATACATTCTGCCCACCCCAGCCCAAGCCACTGGCCAGGAAGGGCCAGGTAGACTTGAAGAAGTCACGGCTCCGCATGTCCCTGCAGGAGAAACTTCTTTCCTACTACCGGAACCGGGCTGCCATCCCTGCTGGTGAGCAGGCTCGGGCCAAGCAAGCTGCCGTGGACATATGTGCTGAGCTCCGGGGCTTCCTGCGGGCCAAGTTGCCTGACATGCCACTTCGGGACATGTACCTGAGTGGCAGCCTCTATGATGACCTGCAGGTAACGAGGCGGTGCTCACACAGGGTCGGGCTGGGTACTGACCCAGATGCTGCTCAGTCGTGCTGTTGGTACAAAAGATGAGTGACCCAGGCTTGCCAGGAAGACTGAAGTCTGGCTGCTTCTGAACTCTGCACACAGGGAGCATTTGGGGAGCATAATCTTGGGTCTTGTTTTTTTTTTTTTTTTTTGAGATATAGATCTCATTTATTTTTTTTAAATTTATCTTGGTCTTTAAAAACCCTTCTTGTTTTCCAGTCACACAACTTCTAGGACACCATAAGAGGCCTCCTCCTTCCTCCCTCCTGTCCCTGCCTCTCTTTCTAGTTCTCTTTCTGGGTCTTTAGGCTTGGGGGATGTCTCGCCTACTTTCATGCCCCAAGACAAGGTGGCACGTGGCGTGAGCACGAGCTGGTGTCTGCAGACCTGGGTTTAAATCCTCATTATGTCTATATCTGAACTGAAAGGTCAACAGGAAAGAATTCTTAGTTTCCTTTATTGCTGGGGGAATACAAGATAGAGGGACCTGTGTTTGAAGAAGCTGGCTTCTTGAGCAGATTACATCCCTCAAAACCTTTTTAATTCTTCTCACCAGGTGGTGACAGCCGACCACATCCAACTCATTGTGCCCCTTGTTCTGGAGCAGAACCTGTGGTCGTGTATTCCTGGCGAGGACACCATCATGAATGTCCCTGGCTTCTTCCTGGTTCGCCGTGAGAACCCAGAGTACTTTCCTCGTGGTAGTAGTTACTGGGACCGCTGTGTAGTAGGGGGCTACCTCTCCCCAAAGACAGTGGCAGACACATTTGAGAAGGTAGTGGCTGGCTCCATCAATTGGCCGGCCATAGGGTCTCTCTTGGACTATGTGATCCGCCCGGCACCCCCCCCAGAGGCTTTGACTCTGGAAGTGCAATATGAGCGTGACAAACATCTTGTCATTGACTTCTTGCCATCAGTGACTCTCGGTGACACTGTCTTGGTGGCCAGACCACACCGGCTAGCCCAGTATGACAACCTGTGGCGGCTGAGCCTGCGTCCTGCTGAGACGGCGCGCCTGTGGGCTTTGGACCAGGCCGACTCGGGCTGCCGATCTCTGTGCCTCAAGATCCTCAAGGCCATATGCAAGTCCACTCCAGCTCTGGGCCACCTCACTGCCAGCCAGCTCACGAATGTCATCCTCCACTTGGCCCAGGAGGAGGCTGACTGGTCTCCAGATATGCTGGCCGATCGGTTCCTGCAGGCCTTGAGGGGACTCATCAGGTACCTAGAGGCCGGAGTCCTGCCCAGCGCCCTAAACCCCAAGGTGAACTTATTTGCTGAGCTCACCCCTGAAGAAATAGACGAATTGGGATACACTCTCTATTGCTCATTATCTGAGCCAGAGGTGCTGCTGCAGACGTAGGGCAGGTGAGGGCCAAAGGGGTGCTGGGCAGTCAGGCCCTGGATTCTCTGTTAGAATCACGGCTCTAGAGATGGTGCCTCACAGGGTCCCTAGGTGCCTCCTGTCCTGCTGTCCACCGCCCTGGTCACTTCATGCTGATTAGAATGACATCTTTTAAATCTCCTATTTTCTCAAACCCAACCCTTTCTATTTTTGTTACCAAACACTGTGCTTCCTCCTCCTCCTTTACCCCTCGCTCCAGGCTAGTTTTGCTGGAATGAATTGACCAGGTGGAGCACTGGCCTGAGCTGTTGAAAACACTTGGTGTTTTGCATGTGGCCCAGGTTTTCTGCTCCTGTCTGTCCCGCCTTGCCCTTTGGCCTGCTTCTCTTCCGTGTCTTCTCTACCTTTTCCTATTGTTCATGCCTTGTTTTGTTCCTTTCCCTGGAGCACACCTGCCTAATCAAGATGTTGCCTTTAGTTGAATATCACTCACCTTATTGCATGTTTCCAAGCTGACCTCTGCAGAGCGCTCAGACAGTATTTAGGGTTTCTGGGGGTACAGTGACCTTGGATTCAGGTTCCTGGAAAAGCAGCCCATTCCCTCAACCTCCTGACCAACTCCTAGCCCTAGTGCTGAGAGGTCTCTCATGGGAACACGGTCATTGACCCACACAGAGTGGGGGCTCAAGATAAACTGATGCAATGTTATTTGGAGAGTGTGTTTTTTAGTGGCCACCAGTGAGCGTGCAGAATGGGGGAACCGGAGGTGGCCTGGGAGAGGATCTGTGTACTTGATGTCTCCAGCTCATGTGGCTGGTCCAGACCAACACCACCTGTGTGCAGGAGTCAGAGGAAGACGAGGAGGGAGGGCGCTGCAAGGGCAGCACCTCTGCATGAGCGCGTTCGTTCACCCCTTCCTTGCCTCCTTGTCCTTTAGGATGAGGCCTTCAAGAACACAACCTTAGCCCTAGAGGTTGAAGGGAGGTGGACAGGCAGCAGGATGTCAGCTGGAAGACCCAGTCCTCAGTTGTGGCTCAGTAACCATGTTTCTCCCCCATCAGGCCTGTCTTTCTAGGATGTTGTCTTAGAGCAAGAACAGTCCTAACAGTCCGCCATAGTAATGTGAGAGGGCTGTTTGCGGAACTCTCCAGGCACCTCCAGAGGCCAAAGGGCACCCAAACATGCTCAGACCTCTCCCCTATCCCCCACCTCACCCCAGTTCTGTCTCTCTCTCACCCAGCACCTGGGGAGATTGGTGCTACCTAGGAAGAGTGCACACGGATAAAACACATATGAAGGAGGTGGGGACTTCCTACGCTCCTTGTTTCCCGCTGCTACAATTGCACTATTTATTGCAATGTAAAAAGTATCCTGAGGGTGGGGAGGAGTGTTTAATACACAATGCCAGTGCATCTTCTTGTTTTGTGTATTTTTTTCCTGTTTGTGGCAAAAGCCTGATAATTCTGTTTCTGGTCACCTGTCCAGTATTTGTTCTCCATCAAGTGTTGCTGTTTTCTCTGTGCATACTACCTCTCCAGCCGGGAGATTCTGGTGAAGCGCTGCAGCTGTCTCATTCCTTCCCAGTGACAGTGACATGAAATGGCTCTATAAATAGCAATGAACCTCAGCTGTCCTCTGGATTTAGGGCGAGATTCCTGTTCCCTTTTTGTCATGGACGAGGGGTTGAGAACGAGGGTTAACCTTGGAGAACTTCCTGCCTTCTATGTGTGTGCAAGGGTTCCTTTAAGTGGTCCAGTTGTGTCATTTGTATGAAGGCATTGGGAGAGAAGGAAGAACATAACGCTCAGAACCCTGAGAGGGATTCCCCAGCCTGGCTGTTCAGACTCGAAATGGAGTTTTAAAAATCTATGTGCCTGAGTGCTCCCTGGTGAGCGGTGCAGAGGTAGTGGGTGGAGCCTGGCATGGCATCCAGGAGAGGGGTGGGCTGAGAAAGTGTTGTCAAAACATGGGTTATTACTCATTGAGATAAGGATTTGGTTTTCCCAATGTATTATAAAACCTACAATTTGCCTGGTTGGTGTGGCTCAGTGGTTGAGCGTTGATCCATGAACCAGAAGGTCACAGTTCAGTTCCCAGTCAGGGCATATGCCTGGATTGTGGGCTCAATCCCCAGTTTGGGGCATGCAGGAGGCAGCCGATCAATGATTCTCATCATTGATGTTTTTGTCTCTCTCTTTTCCTCTCTGAAATCAATAAAAATATATTTAAAAACAAATATAAAGGCAGGGATTCTTACTGCCTTTGCATTGAAAGACAAAGAAAATCCCCTACAATTTTCCCAAGGTGGTGTCTCCAACCAAATTCCATATAAAACATCGAAAGGAGAGCTAAAAAAAGAAAACATTTTAAAGATCAAGTCTCAAATTATTAAAGCTAACTGTGATTTGAGTTTATCTCCTCTCTTAAAGAGCATCTCTCTCAACTGTGTTTCACAAAACCAAAACACCATAACTTTGCCATTTCATAAGCAAGAACCTCTTAGAAGATCTCAGAACTAGAAGCTGTGGGAATTCCCTGTCCTGGTCCTGGTGGTTTTGCTGACCAACTGGGCAAACCTCATCATAAAACATGGAAGACAGACAAGTACTTTGAGATTCTCGGGTAGAAGAGGGCAACATTCTGCTTCCCCGTCTCCCCCTTTAATTTTTGGGGAAAGATGTGGCGCCTTTCCCACCATTCTGCCTTTCTACTCATAACTCCCCTTTCCTGAAGCAATAGCACCTGGTCCTACGTCTCCATTTGGAAATTTTTTTACACCATCTAGGATAAGCAAACCACATGCCTAATGCTTACAGAATACACTCATGGTCTTGAAATTCCAATCAGTTCCAAAGTGTATTTTGATTTTCCCTGTTGCCCCTTTTTAAAAATGAGTTCAGGACAATAGTATTTTTTATACACTTACTTGTGACTTTTTTTCAAATAAATAATCAATGCTCGTTTGGAAAAGCTGTGTTGAGGCCTACAGTCTTTCTTCCTGGGTCTCAGCCCCTGATGGTCCACTGGTTGACGCTCCCGATCAGCTGAGTTTGCTCCCTCGTACTCCACTCAAGTTGAGAACATAAATGGTTTTGATGAGGAATCAGCCTCAGGATCCCAAGGCCCAGGAGAGTCCCCAGGGATTTCTGTAAGTAGGGGTCCCCGCGTGTGTTCAGAGTTGTTTGCTGTGGTACATCTTTCTTGAGACCATGACCTGGGATTTGTTAGAACTCTGCCCTTGCTGCTGAAGCTCAAGGCCACCTAGGACTAGCGCAGTGAGGCTGTAGCCTTTTTGGACACTACTGATTCTAAGTGGCCAAAGTACCAGAGATGTGGGTTCTGCGGTTAATTGTATACACTGTGTTGTTCACCTTTTCATTTTGATCACCTTGTAGTCTTTAAATTCTTGGTCCAATGCCGAGTCCACAGTTGGCCTTCCGGTCACTTGCCTGCCCTTCAGCAGCAGTTGGTATGTTTGGCTGGGATTTGGAGTCAGTCACCAATCTTTCTGCCGTCTTGGATAGCTACAGAGGGAAGCAGCCTAGCCTTGAGACACAGAGAACTGCTGTCCTTTTTCTCCTTGAGGGAGGAGATAAAGCTGGAAACATGGGAGGAAGAAAATAGAAGTCTCCTTTCCAGCAGCTTTGACTTGTGTGTGGCATGAACCATTTTCCCACAGGAGTGCTGCTGGTTCTTCCTATCAGCTTGAGCGTTGATCTGGGTCCCCACAATAGAACGGATGGGATGAGCTGCCACTGAAGTCTTTCTTCCGTGACCTCTGCAGTGTCAAAGCTGGGGCAGTGTTACTTGCTTTAATTTTCAACCAGCTGCGTGGTCAGCCCTCAGGAGCACTGACAAGTCTCTTGATACAACAAAAGGAGGACATGCGCTGTGGGTCCTTAGTTGTGCCTTTGGAAGACGTGTAGTGGCTCAGGGACTCTTACTGCCTTTGCACTGAGCGGCTGGATGACTTCTGTGTATTGCAATTCTTGGGATTCCCCAAGGGGAAAGAAAAACCACACATACCAGGATCCAGTGTGCTTTGCATGTACCAGTTGTTTATAGTTGTTGGTTTCCTCTCAGTAAATGACAGGTGTCCTCTGAGAAAGCAGGATGATGTAATGGGGATGGGGAGGTGCGTATTGGGAGGTCTGGGTCAGAAGACCTCAGTTCTGATAATCAATTGAGCACCTACCAGGTACCAGGCACTTTGCTCAGTGCTTTCCACACATGATTTCACTTCACTCTAAGGATAATGATACTACTCATTAGCCCATTTTACAGGTGAGGAAACAGCCCCAGCAAGAACAAGTCACTTAACCAACACATCCTGGCTGAACATGAAAGAGCCAGGATTCTTTTGGGTTTGCCCCTGAGACCTGTCTTCTAACTCCTACCCCATAGCTCCCTCGCTGGGAGCATGTGACCGGGCAGAACACCGCCCCCATTAGGCCTGTTTACCATGGTAAGGCCACTGAGCTAGATGAAGTCACTTAATGGCTCGTGGTTTAGGACAGTGGTTCCCAATGTTTTCACAGCACAGCCCTCAGGACTATTTGTAAGGCCGAAATGCATGGCAGCACAAACTCCAGGTTTCCGTCCCTCCAGGGCCTGACTGCGGAGGGAGAGGATGGGGCCCTGCCCCGAGGGCGTGGGTTCCGCTCCTCACAGGCCATGAGGACTTGCTTGCTCGGAAGCGGACGCCTGGGAGGTAGGTGAGTAAATTCCCTCCTCGTTTAGAGAAACAGCGTACCCAACCAAACAAGTTCTGCTGTGATAGCCTGCGTGTTTTAATGGACAAGCAGACATGTTTTGGCAGAATGGATATATAAAAACAGAACTGGTTGGGCCATAGGATTCTGCATCTTCCCGGCGCAGAGCAGGCTTTTGGGGTAGGTGGGCAGGGGTCAGGCGATCTTCCGCCTGCGGTCCTCAGGCTCCCCTTTCCGCTACCGAAGGGCTCCCGTGTGGTGAAATCGCACCGAAATGACATTTCCTTTTGCCCAGTTTCATCCTCCAGCCGCAATCTGGCCCCTAGTTAGAGCTGCACTAAGAGCAGGCAGCTTAGCGACCGCAGGGCCTGGGGTTGCCGTCACTATTTGGGGCTCGGTGGGTGAGAGGGGTGGTGGCCGGCTACAGGCCTGGCGGAGGGAGCCGCTGCAAAGCCGGGCACCGCCAAGGGCGGGCGGACGACAGACCCCAGACCCGCACGCGGGAAACCCTCCGGACCCCGGCCCTTCCCTCGCACACCAGAGGCCACCTCACTGCACAGCCCACCCACCTTGGACCCTGAGCCAATAAAAACTCGAGTTATATATGACTCACCACGGATGGCCAATCAGCTCGATGCGCGCTCTCCGCCGGCATCTCTCGCGATGAGAAGGCTTCACAATAAAAACCTTTCTTGGAAATGACTTCTCCCCGGCCTTCAGCTAACACCGGAAGCGGGCGTGTCTGGTGGATCCCTCCGCGCTCGCAGTGACTCTTTGATCTTAGAAGCCTTGTAAAGCAGTGAGTCTTTTGTTTCTCGAGGCCTTTAAAATAGCACATTTCCTCTTTAGAGTTACGCCCTGGCCAAAAAAAGTCGTTGGTTGGAAGAGGTAGTGCGTCAAAAGATGAAAATAAGTGGGCGGGAGGCGAAGGTCACGTGACGGCGCGGAAGGATTCCTTTGTGATGCGGCTCATAAAGGAAAAAGTTATAAAAGACCCGCGGGCCGGCTATTTCGGCCATTTCCTCTCCCGCCTGCAGATGTAGACCTTTGAGCGTGTCCCTTCCTCCTCCGCTCCCACAGCTCCCGGCCGACATGGCGCACTAGAGGCAGCAGTGCCAGCGGCAGCATTGGCCTTTGCAGCGGCAGCAGCAGCACCAGGCTCTGCAGCGGCACCTCCCAGCGGCTTAAGCCATGGCGTAAGTAGGGGGACGGGCTGCTGTGTCCGGGCGCCCCTGGGTCGCCGAGGACCTGCGATCTGTCTGCCTGGGTGGGCCGCTGGC